AAGAAAATTCACTTTTTCTCAGATGGAACTGGCAGTCAGTACAAAAATAAGATGACAGTTTTTAATTTGTGCCATTTGGAAAAGGATATAGGTGCGGAGTGGAACTTTTTCGCCACATGCCACGGTAAAGGTCCATGTGATGCTTTGGGAGGAGTCTGCTGCTAAACCAAGTTTGCAGGGGCATCTAATTACAACTGCTAAAGAGCTTTATACATGGGCAATTTCTTGAATCGATTCAAAAATGCACTATGGCTTTTTTATAGACGCAGTTCATAAAGCAATAGAAAGAAAACCTAAAACTCGTTATAATCGTGTCAAACAAATTTCCGGAACACAGTCATATCATAGTTTTAGGCCAGAAAATGAAATTTATATTATTGTGAAACGATTCTCGTTCTCAGAAGAAGAACATTCTATGAAACTTTGAAAGTATCTTTAAGCATGTGTTATGTCCACACATAAAAAATAAAAAATAAAAAAATTAATGAATTGTATTTCAAACCAGCCATGTACATAGTTGGAAACCATAAGATTGTCTTATCAAAGAATTGATTCTAGTCCAAATATGGACTAGATATGGAGTTCCAAACAGTCCGTAAAAGATGTACTACCCAAATTTAATATAAATATATTCTATTTGAATTCCTATACTATGAATCACTGTAGTAATTATTATTTACACACAACGCAAAAGCAATCAATAAATTTGATTCAAGTTTCTATGAATGTCATGGTAGTCTAGGATGAGAAATTGAAATAAGTAAGTAATGTAACCATGCTACATTCGATATGTATCAATGTAGACGCAGGATAATCTAGTCGTGCTGGAGTAATTAGCGAAATTTCTAAACATGATAATTTCAAAAAATCGTAACTCAAAAACGGAGACAAATACAGCGCTGATTTTTTGATAAGTTGTGTAAAAAAGCCTAAATTGTAAAAAAAAATATAAAAGGGTGCTACGCCCATTGTCTACACACCATGAAAACCAAAATTCTTCTACACAAAACTCCAATTTTCAAAAAAAAATATTTTTTTTTTCTGAAAAATTTGTTTAAGACCCTTTCATTTGATATTTTGATCATTCAAATCGGTTCAATGGTTCAAAATTTATAATTTTTAAAAAAATGCCATTTTTGGAAAAAATTGAAAAAAATCGATTTTTTGGACCACCCTACCCCGTTTTGCTATGGAATGGCTGATATATATTTATAATTTATATATATATAGGTATATACAGCCATTCCATAGCTAACCGATATAATGGTTCTCAGAATTTCATAACAGTTGGTAGTTTTGTTCCTTATCGAAAAATATTAGACCCGTATTTTTTTTTTTTTCATTAGGGTGACCATTTCCATGTTAGGGTGGTCCAAAAATGATTTTTTTCTATTTTTTCAGAAATGGATTTTTTTTTAAATCATAACTTTTGAACCATTGAAAAATCTGTAAACTAATGTGTATAAATTCTATATTATGATCTTATTGCGGATCGTCGTAAATATACTTTGAGCTCATTTGAAGTTCAGAAATAGTTTGTTCATAGTTTAAAATCTTGCAGAATGACTTAGGTTGGTTTCTAAAAAAATAATCTATTTTAAAGATCTCGAAATCCTGAATATTGATTTTTTTGAGTGATTTGGATCTTTTAAAAAAATCAAGTCTCCGTAATGAGAGACAAAACTGGAAAAAAATAATGAAGAAACATCACATTTTCGTATTTTTTTTTATGTTCGAGATTACGTAAATCATTGTCAGGTCATTTGTTTTTTACTCAACAAGTTTAGAAAATGAAAAATAAGCATTGAAATTTTATAAAGTATTAGTTTTAAAATGTTATTCATTTTCTCAAATTCTTCTAATCAAACCAAATTTCAGCTTTATCTATTCATTTGGCAGATTAAAAGGATATTGAATTCGCTAGCTTGTTATTTTGGCCTGCTTTGTTTGCCTCTGCATCTCACAGGAGGGTAGATTTTGTTAATAGGTAGGTTTCGTTGGATCCGGATTTAGCTTGATAAGTAATGTGAGTTCATAGTCTCGTCTCGAAAAGCTCGCGAATAATAATTACGATTACCTGATATGCAAATGATCAACTCAATAATGTAAAATGGCCTAGATAACATTCACGATATTCTGCTCAGTAAGCAAAAACGGCCACTACTAGGCATACGAGCCCATTTTGTTTGTATCTAACATAGTTCACAATGTGATCGCGATTTGCATGGATATGAACATCCGTTAGTATCCCGCGATCACACTGCAAATACTTTCAGAACCGATTCCGCCAGGTAGTTGTAGTATGGTACGCATTGGTTCACCAAGTTGTGCATCATTGCAAGTTGTTGGTTCACAATCTTAGCGACATCGTTGTGGCGACCAAGACATGTTACTTCCGCTAATGCTTGACATCAGCATGTTAGATCGTCTCTCCAACTGCAATGCACTCTCTAAAAGTTGTGTTCTTATTCTTCGTGCAGTATGTGTCAACGGCACTGTAAGTAACACACATCTGCCACAAAAAGTTGCAGCAACTTGATTGTGACTAAAATAAGTCAATTAGAAATAACCTCGACAACTGTGCTACTAGAGCAGTGTCAATTTTTTATTATTATTGTTCATGCAGTTAAGGGCCCAAGCAATAATTATGTCATGCTAAATCTAGCAAAAAATTACCCCCTCCCCCTATCGTGACGTTTTTCCTATACCTAATGCATTGCTTGTCACAAAATCTTAGACCCCTCCCCCCTTAGAGCGTGACATAATATATGCCCTAAGGATGTAGATACTTGTTCATTTTACCAATGTAAAAGTTCGATTGATTCATTGCAATAACACTAATAATTGTAATCATCCTCAACGGAGAAAACTTAAACATAAAAATAAACGGGTCTGAGGGAAAGCAGAACTTGTTATTGATCAGTTTCTTACTTCATAACCATTTTAAAGCTTATTCCGAACTTTACAAAATATTAACTCAATCAAGCAATTGTAAACAAATAATGAGAAAGTCACGAACGAGTTCTATTTTTTTCTCCGGAAAAAGACGCCAATTTGTGAACGGTGCTGAGAGGATTCAAACAAAGATAAGATAATGCATATTTTACAAGCAACATAACAGTTGAAAGTGATCGACGCACCACTCAGGTTGTAACTAAATAAGATTACAACCAATTCACCTGAAACTTTTTTTTTAAATCAACTAGAATCATATACACCATTCGAACGTTGTCAAAGACTTGTTTGTAGCTTTCATCGAAACGGTTTGAAAAATTGTTAAACAACAACTGTCTCATTGTTGACTACTTCCCCCTAGTCCTCGAAAGGACTGTTAGATCAGACTGCTGCTTATAGAGTGGAAAGCGCTATTTGATAGATGATTTTAATTCCCATGTAATCAACAGATTTTTAGATTAACTCCAGATCTACGGTACGATTTTTTGGATTTCCCAGATGTTTAAGGCTTTTTTTAAATTCAGAAGAAAATTCTTCAGATTCTCAAAATGTTGGCCCCCTCCAGTTCAACACTTTTAAAGCAACATAATTTTTTGAATGACGATGTTTGGAAAATGCTCATTGTATTAAGCAATAATTAATGCAGAGGAAACAAATTAACCTATCTACGGATCGTATTTTATGAAAAGTTAACATCACTGCCCATATGATTTAGCATTTGATGGGGCTCTTCATCTGAATATTTTAATACAATTTTAATTGTTTCGATATCAATCTAATTTACATTTTGCCTCATTGAACATGGTCTTGCCACCTCCAGCATGGTCTTGCTTTGTAGCTGCGCCTTTACTGACTGAAACAGGAAGGCTCTAACCTCAAATGTTCACTCTTATTAACGAAAGTAAGCATTTAAATTTGACATATTTCCCAAAATTGCTCAGACCGATTGTACCGGTCTTTAAGATACAAAATAAGAGTGCTCGAAACTAGCTCAGCATCGCAATCAAATCTTATCACATTACATTAAACTTTCGGAAAAGCTTGAACTAGTAAGGCAAAGCCATTAAGGAAAACAACCAACAACGGTAGACATGCCATGCTCCATGTGATTTCCTTCAGTGTTTGCTCATGACCCACGCGTAAGTGCATGTACAAAGAAATAAAAGCGCAGGAGTCGCTTTTCCGTTGATTAAACCGATTTCTTTTGACCTAATGACATGTGTATGTTTATAAGTAGAACCAAATGTGGTCCCAACGTCACGAGACTAGGCTTGAACCCCCCAAACTAATCCATTTAGATTCGATCGACGAAATCTCCATTTCTGAAGCAGTTCCTATTTGTTCTTATCCGTTGTAGGTACTCACTTGACTGGTCCTACTAGGTACCACGTACACAGCTATCGATTGCTCACAAACATTATTAATTTATGTACTTTCCTTATAGTTTTGCTACGCCATCCGGTTTTTGTTGGTTCACCGGCGGTACGGTTGGCCTGTTTCTTCAATATGTTCGCTTCTCCACAGTTGTTTCTTGATATATACACCATCATTATAGTTATGCAAACATGCCTACATGGTGAGGCAGAAAATGGATTGTCGCCGGAACGAGGACGGACACTGTGCGTCTTTTCATTCTGGTTCTACTTGTGCTGTTTTCGAGATTTTTAGTGCAGAGACCGAGTTAATGAAATAAATCGGGATTCATCATGTGTTGCGAAACGGATAATGATTGAAAATTATTGAGATTAATTTCAAAAATCTGTTGGTATAACCAAATTTTAACACTATGTTAGGCATCACCAAAAATATGCAATTTTGTAAAAGACTTTAAAAATTGTACATTTTTGCTTCACTAGTTAAATTTTTCTCATTCAAATGAAATTTAATCTCACAGGCCAGTTTTATTTGTTCGGTAAATTTCTGAAAACTTTCCATCTATAATTGATTTCATTCACCTCCATTTAAATGGTGCAAATAAATGGCATTTTCAAATTTACAAAATATCTTGCAGTTAATTGCAATAACAAACTAATAACACCACTTACCTTCATCTCGATTACTTCCCACCAAAATTTCAACACCTTCCAAATTTGCTTCTCGTAGCATTGTCATCGGATCACCAGTCATAAACTCCCCATCAATTGTTGGTGCGGATGGAAATCCTAGAATTCCGGAGTATGAATTCCATTGCTGGACTGATATAGTTTTAGCATCGACATTCCGCATGCAGTTCATTACATAGTTGGGGTTGTCCTAAAGGATAAAATGAAGCAGAATAGCCACCAAAATATGTATAAGAACCATCACAAAACTTTATCTGTAATCAAGTTTACCTTCAATAGCGTCACATTACAGTTGCAGTCGTCGATTAGTGCTTCCGCAACCGACAGAGCCTTTTCGGCAGTCATATGACTCCACGGTGCATTCAGCGTACCAGATTGCAGGATGCCTCTCCGCGATAGCCCCCGTGTGGCAGGCGACAGTAGATGTAGACTCACAGAGCTACCACCTGCTGACTCACCGAACAGAGTAATTAAATCAGGATCACCGCCAAAGACTTTGGCGTTCTCCTTCAACCACCGAATAGCCAGCGCTTGATCCCACAGACCAACGTTACCTTTGACGGAATCAAATGAAAGAAATATAATATAAGCTGTGCAGTTCATAAATCAGTATCGACTCGATGTTATCATCCTTTTTATCGAAGCAAGTACCATAAGACCATTTTGACGTAGGACTACGTCTTTGATTTCTATATGGGGGTACACTTTGTGAAAACCGAAAATGGAACATGTAACAAATTAAGTAAGATTTTGAACGTTAATAACTCAGCGGCCCCTGGTCCAAATTCAATAATTTTATCATCAAACGATCATAAATATGGCTACGCATCGATAACAATGCTTTTGAATGTTGATTTTCAACAAGAAACTATTGAAAAACTGGTAAATGTCCAGTATTGTCCAAAAGCGTCGAATTAACTAACAAATCCACCAATTACCTATATGCATATGCTGCTTCCCCAGCACAGTCGTCAGAGAGTAGTAAGTAGACGAAACAAGTCGAAGTGACATTCGCCTCCGATCCTCGGGCGTGTGCGAATAGGGAGGATGGAATTGCGTAATATTTTACACACTCATCGCCATATTCAAAACCAAACGCAAATTCTTCGAGATAACCACCATCCGTCGTCTGGCTCGCCGCGGCGGTGTCTGACGTATCTCCGGTGTGATGAAGGTGTTCCTGAAAAATGAGATCCGTGATGCTGTCACCTACACTACACACGCCAGGCGTAAGCGGCCATGGATGTCATCTACGTTTGGTTTCGGAGGTTAAATCATCACCAACTTTGGCAACAAAACGGCTCTTTTCAGGGCCACCAAGCTTATTACAGTAAAGAGTAGGAATAAAATTCATCTGCCTGTTTGTCTATATTCAGAACCAATGACCACACAAAATGCTCATGTAATCAAACTGGAAGCAGGGGTACAAATTATTTGGATCAACCTTGATCAACTTTGAATCGCCACGGCCGGATACTTTCGATGGAAGAAGCAACAATCTAGCATCTAATTCGACGAAGATGACAGGAAACATTTGTGAAGCCGAGTTATTTACGAAAGAGAGTGTCGATGAAGAGAATCGATCAATGTAGATAGGACCTATTGAAAAGTGACGCGAGATTAGTTTTCCGTACTGAGCTCCAATGCTACCGACGCCAGGGAGGCAGCTCCCACACCTGGACCCTATATATCGACCCATCAACTCATGAACAGGGGACCAACGGCTTCACTTCCCGAAGGAAGGCGGGATCAGAGATGTTATGCCTCAGTACATGCCGGTGCGACTGAGATTGAATCCAGACCTGCTGGGTTGAGAGGTAATCACGCTAACCACCGGCGCCGATATCTTTCAAGGTGATATCACGGCGAATGAGAACGATCCAAATTTGACTCAGAAATAAGAAATAAAGTGCAGGAACTCAGCGATGAGTAAATTTGCCTCATGTTTTCCCAGGTTTTTCCAGGATTTTCCAGGGAAAAATTCCCGAATTTGAGAAAAGTAAAGATTGGATTCACTCAGTCTGTTGGTACTACTCCGAGACTGAATAAAATTGTCGTCAATTTCCTCAGTTTTCTGGCAGATTTTTCAGGTTTTCCACAGGAAACCATTAGACAAATTTATTAATCGCTGAGCTCCAGCACTTTTCGCGATTATGAGTGAGCTAAACTCAAATTTCGGTCGTTCTCATTCCCCGTGTACGCAAAAGGAAAATAGCCAGTGTCGCTACTTGATAGCAAACTACTCATAATGGGAGGAGTCTTTGTAGCTTTTGTACCACTTGGTTGCACATCATTCTGCTTTAACCTGAAATGATATAAAAGAGCGCTGCTGTATGGCATTAGCTCCTTTTCGCTTCGGACTGGTCATCCCAAAGTTCTTCGAGATAACCGCCATCGGTCGTTTGGCTCGCCGTGGGGGTGTCAAACGTATCTCCGGTCTGATCTACGAGGTGTGCTGAAGGTGTTCCTGGAAAATGAGGTGCGTGATGCTGTCACCTACACTAAACACGCCAAACGTAAGTGGCCATCAAGCTTACATCAGTAAAGAGTTGGAATAGAATTTATCTGTGCTTGTTTGTCCATATTCAGAACCACAAGCCCCCAACGACCACACAAAATGCTCTCCAGAGTTATAATCTTGTAACCAAACTTGGAAGCAGGGGTGCAAGTGATTTTGATTGATTCTCTTAATCAAATTTCTCTTTGAAAAAGATTACTACAAATTTGGTACGCCTACAATTCAAAAACGGAAAGAGTTGAGATAATAGATAATTTTTTAATTAAAAGAACTAAATGCTCTTCACATTTATTCCGTCCACTAGCGGTCCTACGTCAAGCTTCCGTTCGTTCCCCTAGGCACAGACCCTTCTACTTTTATGTTTTCAATACGCTTCGTATATTTGAATTAACTTAAAATCCACTTTTCTCTGTTCTTAAAAAAAATAAGAGCAAAGCTATCCTTTCTGAATAGCTGAATTTCCAATAATTAGTTTTATGATATTTTAATGCAATAAATCAAAAAAGACAACATTTTACGGGTGAACATATGATAATAATAGAAATTCTGTACAGAGTAGATATTGAAACATACCAAAAACACTAATGAGTTGATTTTGTTTAATAAAATCCTTATCCTAAATACGTATTCAATCGACACAGCATTTATATTCAGTTAATCCTTTATTCGGCCAAATGCCCATTTAGGCAAATTCTCCATTCTACCATTTGGACCAAATGTCCAAACGTCCACCTAGACAATGTGTATTAGTTTGGATCAAAATATTGATTTTCTCCACAAGCTCAATCGATTTTAGATCAGGTTCTGATCATTCTTTCAAAAATTGAGCTCATATGTTTTTTTTTCTGATATTATAGTCACTTTAACACTCTTGGGTAATTCGTGACTTATCGGGTGAGATTTGAACTCGTGACTTTGGCGTGAGAGGTATGGATGTTAACCACTGGGTCGCCCCCAGCTCATTTGTTTGTGATATCCTACAGCACTGGGCCTTTGAAGATTATATGGGAATTACTATGGAAAAAGTGAGCTTTATGTTCACCTCGTCCTAGCCTTTCGCCAAACTCAAGAACGAGTGAAGATATCGCAAAATGGTCAAAATGTTCGCCCTTTAAGATTACAAAATCACGTGGCTACTCATAGAAGCATATGTTTTATTTGAAAAAAAAATAGAAGGGTCTGTGCCTAGGGGCACGAACGGAAGCTTGACGTAGGACCGCTAGTGGACGGAATAAATGTGAAGAGCATTTAGTTCTTTTAATTGATCAATTATATATTATCTTTATGTTTTTGAATTGTAGGCGTACCAAATTTGTAGTATTTTTTTTACAAAGAGAAAGTTGATTAAGAGAATCAATCAAAATCACTTGCACCCCTGCTTCCAAGTTTGGTTACAAGATTACAACTCTGGAGAGCATTTTGTGTGGTCGTTGGGGGCTTGTGGTTCTGAATATGGACAAACAAACACAGATCAATTCTATTCCAACTCTTTACTGATGTAAGCTTGATGGCCCTGAAAAGAGCCGTTTTATTGAAGAGGACATCCATGGCCAGGAACACCTTCAGCACACCTCGTAGATCAGACCGGATATACGTTTGATACCACCACGGCGAGCCAGACGACCGATGGCGGTTATCTCGAAGAACTTTGCGATGACGCTTGGCGCCTCCTTCACCAGACTTTTTCCTCCTTTGCTACGACCTGTCAATTGTTGCTTGTTAGGTGTGAAGGAGTGGACTAGCCACCACCTTCCTACTGCTGCTATTGTTGTTCACCAAGCCGTCCGAAGCGAACATTAGCTAATGCCATTTTTGCCATTTAAATGATCTTTATTTCTTGTGATTGTGTGGTTTACATGTATGAATTTGTTAAGTGACACAGATGCGTCTTTTCAACTTTAGTACATTTGAGATTTTAATTATTATTTACAGTTCCTAGTCCTATCAGGCCTATTTTAAAGTATGACCACCTTGGTGGGATTGGTTTGATTTGAATTGGAAAAATGAGACTACTTATAACTACTATTTACAACTACAACTAACCTACAACTACTATGTACACCTAACCTACTATATACAAATTGCTTATCAAAGCATGTTCTGATAAATTACATTTTTGTGCAAATTTAGTCTTAATTTCGTTAATTTTGGAATCTATTTTGGCAATGCCTGCCTCTTCATGTAAATTTGTTATTCTAGTGTCGAAAGGACGATCAAGAACCATCCTCAGCACTCTATTCTGAGCTACCTGAATTTTGTTCCTGTGAGTCTGTGCACATGATTCCCACACCGGAGCTGCGTAGAGGATCGCAGGTGCTACGATTTGTTTGTAGACGGCCAGTTTGTTCACCCTTGAGAGGCGGGATCTGCGGCAAATCAGCGGATACAGACACCTAACCAAGGCGGAACATTTGACTACGGTTTTCTCCACATGCGAGCGGAATAGGAGCTTTTCGTCAAACAACATCCCGAGATAGGTTACTTCGGCGGACCACTCAACCCTTGTGCCATCCATGATTACAGTACAAGAGGGAGTCGGTTTTAGTTTGGGTGATTGTCGATGGAGGAACATGATTGTTTGTGTTTTGGAAGCATTGATTTTGATTTTCCACGTGGTGGCATAATCAGCAAAGGCGTTAAGGCATCGTTGAAGTTTGTTCGTTATTTCGCGAGGCATCCTTCCTTTGACGGCTATTGCGGTATCATCTGCGAACAGGAAAAACACGCAACCGTCTCCAAGGGGAGGAATGTCGGAAGTGTAAATGCTGTAGAGCAAGGGGCCCAGCAGACTGCCTTGCGGGACTCCTGCAGGGATGGAAAACGTGTCTGAAAGACAACCATTCAACGATACCTTAAACGACCTTTGCTGGAGGTAGCTACGGGTGATTTTAACCAGATGTAATGGAAAGTTGAAGTTACAGAGCTTGTATACAAGCCCATTGTGCCAGACATTATCAAACGCTTTCTCAACGTCTAACAATGCCATGGCTGTGGACTTGGATACAGCTTTGTTACTTCGGATGTTATTCATCACCC